CTGCCATGAACACTTCCTGGGCCATGGCGGTGTTGCTAAATGGAACCCAAGATCAGGAGTGGAAATGGGTGAAACTACGCGGAGTCTGGGTCTAGGCCTGGCTGAACCACCAATGAGTCAGGTGATTCTGTGGAAACCATTCCCCTCCCGGGCCTCACTGTCTTCATCTATAAGGAAGGATGTCGGTGCTGGCTAGGTGCTAAGTTTCTGCCTGCCACTCTCCACGTTCTGGCAATCTGTGACTCCGGCTAATTCGAGCTTATCATAACCCGGTCTCTCCCAAAGTTGTCATTAAGATGAGAAGTTTGCAGGTGGGTGAAATGAAGCATAGAAGCTGGAAGACTAGAACCAAGAACACTGACTCCTAGCCTTCTGCTTCCATACCAAGTCACCCTGATTCTGAGAGAGCTGAACTCAAGAAGAACCTTCTCATGACCAGTGCTGAGTTGGAATTTGAGAACTCCATTTGGATCCTCACTGCTTTTTAGAGTGAACTGAAGCACTGGGGGAGAAAACTCACTTAGGAGACCAACAGTGGCAGAAAAACTGGTTTTCTCTTGTGTTGGGGGCATTGAGAGAAAACATTGCTGTCACTTGGTAGCTAAAATGTGACTCCAGGTGGCCAAGCCTTCACTTGAGTGGCTCCCAGTGGCCCCCATCATAAGCCTACAGATGAGCCCTGGGTCAGAAATGAAAGGTCACATGTTCCCAATGGAGAGGACATTGAGTGACGAGACATAGGTAGCATCGTTTGAAGCCATTAGTTCGAATTTCCCCTTGAAATGTAGAGGCCTCAGCAGTGGAGGTGAGGGTTCTGAATCTCCAAGGGTGAAGGCGTGGATGGTGTTCAAGGGTAAACTCGCGCTGTACCCACCTCGTCTGGCCAAATTTTAGTTCACCAAGATGTTTGGAGGGTCCCGAAAAGAAAAGAGCCAGAAATTCTGCAGCAGACCAAGTGGTGGAAGGAAATTCAGTGAAGAGATGAGTCCCTAGGGGCTTGGGGATTTTCCAAAGCTCAAGAATTTAACCAGGCAGATTCACAGGCAAGGGATGACATGACCTGCAGGCTGAGGGGTTCAGAGAATTAAGCTGGGAGCAGTTTGCTCCTTTTGAAGCAGAGTCTGGGCAGGGGGCAGGAGGTGTGGAACAGCACAGCCAGCCTACGCTGACAAGAGAAATGGGAGCCCCTATGCTCCTGAGGGTCATTCAAAAGTCTGGCTCTTCCTATGAAACAATGATGAGAACAACGATAGCGTTTGATACCAGATAAGGCAGCAAGGAAGAAAAGGTGAAACACCATCACAGAGAAAACCCTCTGGTTTTGAACAGAAACTGGGCAGAAAAAGCGGAAGAAGAGAAAAATAAAACAAAAAGAAGGAAGGCACCAGCAGGAAGAGAAATCAGGGCTATAGCTGTCAGGCAAAGAAAGCCAGGCCACGTCTTCAGGAAGCAGAGTCATGGAGAGGTCAGGGGTCAGTTGCTCACTCAACAGTAACTGGGGGGAGCCTCTGAGATGCCAGCATCGTGCTGGCTTCTAGAACTCCGCCAGCGAGCAACACTGACGCGGTGTAGGCTCAGAGGGGGTTTACGGCCTAGTGACTGGGTCAGAGGCACCATCCCGCAACCGGCGGGTTCCACCCTGGGGCTCCATGCCATGGTGGGTGGAAAGCAGGGAGAAGCATGACTCAGTAGCCTTCCCATTCTAAAAAGTGTCATCGTCATCAAGAAGAAAGGGATCTGAGAAGAAATTGAGGCTGGGGATAGAAATAGTGGGGATCGCCAAGAAGACGGTGCCTGAGTGAGAAGGTTTGGACAGAGAAGCAGATGGAGGGATGAGGGAACCCTGCTGGGGACCAGACAGCAGCAACTCTTTTCCAGCTCAATCTCCCTGTCCTAGGGGAGTAAAAATGAAAGGCGGAAAGAGATCGAAGGATGTGAATAAGGAGGGAAACAGCCCTTGCTGGATTTTCTCACCTTTTTGAAAAGTTCCTGAAGGACGGCGGACAGTTATGAGTGCCTCTGCTCATACCTACGAGCAGCTGCTGAAGGAGAACTTCCCCACCACCCAAGGGAGAAGGAACACGCCAGTAGGAGAAATGAATCCCACGACCGGCCCCTGTGGGATTGTCAGATTGGGAATGGGCAGATCGTGCTAGGTTTCGACACATCTAGGTGCTGTCACACGCTTAATGGGATAAATTAAAAGGGGGTCATCGATGAAGGCCTGTGGTCCAGAAGAATCTCTCGATTAGTCTGAAAAGCCAACATCTAGAGATTTGCTTGCATTACCCAAGACAATATCCCTGGAACATTAAAGCTGGAGATCATCTGACATTCTGATCTTGGTGTAAATTCTTTTTAACCATCTCCCTGTCTCACCCAATACCCTAGCTGCAGGGAGGAGATGGTGTTTTGAGCACATAGACTGGGAAACCCGTATTTACCTCTTAAACTATGGACACAGCAGGAAGGCCAGTGTATAGAGAACCCTAGAGCCCGGCTCTGGGTCAGCCAGACCTGGAATTCGAGGGGGCTCAAGGGAAGGAAGAGAATTCTTGAGATTCATGAATGCAAAACTGGGCTCTGTGAGGACAGTGTCCTTGAAGAGATTGTGGGAAATTCCAGGGTTCCCAAATCACTTTATTAGCACTCGCATTCATAATTCATACTTCATATATATATATATATATATATATATATATTTTTTTTTTTTTTGCAATCCCCTGCCTACCTGATGTACAGAATGGTGAGCTCCCCAGACAGGGTATGCCAGGCTCATATTCTCATTAAGCCCAGGCCAAGGCGTGCCTTTGTGAAGCAGGTTCCCTTAATCTTGTAGCTGTCACTATTAGAAAGAAATAGTGGACAATATATAGGTGTCATAATGTAAGATGATTTTTTTTCTAGAACTGACCATATTCACACTAAACCACCAGTCATGTTGGCATTGGCCACTTTCTCCACCTCTCAAATGAAGTTTGAAAAAGCATCTTTCCAATTTCTCTTCCACCAACTGTGCACTTCATCACTCCCCATACACCATCTTCCTTCTCAAGAGATGTGTTATTCCAGTATATTTTGATATTCCATGACGAAACATAGATCCTAAAGTCCAACTGGCCAATTTCACATCCAAGCTCTACCAGTAGTTATCTGCCTGAGTGACCTGAACTGAGTTATTCAACCCCATTAAACCACAGTTTCTTCCTTGTCTAAAGTAGGGATATTGATAAGAGTCCCATAATTCTTAATGTTACTAATGGTGATTAAATTGTATTTAAAGCATTTTACTGCAAACCAGGCACTCAATATGAGTAAGTTCCATTAACATTACAGGAAAATATTAAGTGGTTTGGAGTTAAAGAATAATACTTTCTCACGTAACAGCAATCATCTGTATGTGTGTGTGTGTTTCAGAGGCAATAAATGTTCCCATCCACCACCGTACCATTTTGTCTTCTTTGGTTCTATAATGTTTGAGTTCACGTTCACTTGTATTTGTCAAATACCCTGCTGAGTTTCAGGGCAGTGTTCACCAGAGTGGATCTTAAGCACACCCAGCAGTTTGTCATGACTCTGATGGGTCTGTCGAGCAGAGAGAAAAAGAAAGATGTGAAATCAAGACCTTAGGTTGATGCAAAAGAAAAAAGTGGTGCAGAGAATAAAGAACGCTGTGAGTTCTGTATGCCTTTATCCATCACCATGGCAGTGGGATTATCCCTCACTGTAGCGATCAAGTTTGTGACAACTTTTTAATCATTGTTTTTTTTTAAATTTGAAAACTCGGTAATTAAATAAGATAATCCCTAAGATTGTTCGTGCTTTAGGGTTCCATTGTTTTGTCATTCTGCTACCAAGATCTAGGTGACAGCTACTGTATAAGATGTAAAGAGGTCTGAAACTTGACTCCCCTCCCCCCCTCTGTAAATTAATGGATAAGACTTGAGCAGGTAAAGAGGATGGGAAAGAACATTTTAGACATCAAGACCCAACTTGAGAGGACCAAAAAATGATCCATGATGGGTCAAGTTGGTAGTGAGTCTGGTTAGAGTAAAAGTATTAATGCTAGAAAGCTAGCTTACATTGGGTACTGTGAAGGATCCTCAATGTCAAGTGCCGGACAAGCATTTGGCAGCCCTTGGCGCATGTTGAGCAGGGGAGTATACTAGAACATCAAAAGGCATCATCAACAATAATCGTCATCATTTCGGCATAATAGAAAATCACTGGCTGAAAGTTGGCAAGGCCAATACTTTGTGAATTTTGGATTCTCATTAAAAAATACAATTCCCATGTTCGGGAGAGAAGGGATTCGTAATAACTTAGGCTGTGTCTATGTAACCCCACATCAAAGAACAAAGGGAATATTTAGGTAACCCCATTTTAATATGGCTTATTTTAATGGATTCCAACTTGTTTCTATTTTTTAAATTTTTTTAAAGATTTTATTTTTATTTTTTTATTTGAGAGAGAGACAAAGATAGTGACAGAGAGCACAAGTGAGACGAGTGAGCATGAGCGGGGAGGAGAGGGAGAAGCAGGCTCCCCGCCGAGCAGGGAGCCTGATGCGGGGCTCGATCCCAGGACCCCCGGATCATGACCTGAGCTGAAGGCAAACGCTTAACTGACAGGCATCCCCCAACTTGTTTTTAAATGCAGTCAAAACAATTCGCATATGTGGACTCAGCCTAAATTTCATTTTTTTATCACTTAAAGCTTCATCGCAGTCATCAAGCGATGTTGATGAGAACTGGTACAAACCCACCCAGTGGGTTTGGCTCCCATAATAGATATTGCACATAGGAACCAGGTGAGAACAGCCTCGGAGGATATTACACGTAGGGGCTAGCCAGTCAGATGTGAGAAACGCAGACGCATTCGGAATCACATGAAACATTTGAGAGACGTACAAATAAGTGTGTTGGTTTGTTTGCTTGTTTTCCTAGCCAGTTGGCCTGTTGGCTTGCAAATAATATGTACAAATCTGTGTTTTCTTCCAGGGTCTTTCTTCCCTGATTTCAAGCCCTCAGAAACAGTTTTTAAAATAGCATTTTGGCTCGGATACCTAAACAGCTGCATCAACCCCATTATATACCCGTGCTCCAGTCAAGAGTTTAAAAAGGCCTTCCAGAATGTCTTGAGAATCCAGTGTCTCCGCAGAAAGCAGTCTAAACATACCCCAGGCTATACCCTGCACCCTCCCAGCCACGCCGTGGAGGGGCAGCACAAGGACCTGGTGCGCATCCCAGTGGGATCAGGAGAGACCTTCTATAAGATCTCCAAGACGGATGGGGTCTGTGAATGGAAATTTTTCTCTTCAGTGCCCCGTGCATCTGCCAGGAGTACAGTGTCCAAAGACCAGTCAGCCTGCACCACAGCCCGGGTGAGAAGTAAAAGCTTTTTGCAGGTGTACTGCTGTGTGGGGCCCTCGACCCCCAGCCATGGAGAGACCCACCAAGTTCCAACCATTAAGATCCACACCATCTCCCTCAGTGAAAATGGGGAGGAAGTCTAGAGGACAGGAAAGATCAGAAGGAAGGGGGTTGGGGGGGAAAGAATGATCTTAGGCACCCACCCCACTTCCTACTTGGAAGGCCAGTTCACTCTTCCTGAATGACAAGACAAGACCAGGGGCCGGGGACCATCTGGGAATAGGTGGGGGGAAGAGACCCGACTCTGGGGCGGTGGGTAGGGCTCAGGGAAGAAGGAGGATATCACGCAACCATCCGGCTGCAAATGATGATAAACAGCATTTCCTTGAGGCTAATGCTCTCGCAGTCATCCTCTGAGGCCGCTTTCCACGTCTGGCCCTTGCAACGAAAAACACCATGGGAAACAGAATGTCATACACAATCCAAAAGACTATAAATATAAGGTTATGATTTCATCATGAATATTTTGAGCACACACTCTAAGTTTGGAGCTATTTCTTGATGGAGTGAGGGGATTTTATTTTCAGGCTAAACTTACTGACAGCCACGTTGGATATTTACGAGGAGAGGGCCTGGAGAGGAAGAGCCTTAAGATGGTGGCCAGTATCCAGGCACATTATTTTTAGAGCACGTTTTAAACTCCACCATTTCTGACCATATCCAGTTTCTTAACTTGGGTGCAACTTGACAGTGAGATCTACCTTTTGCTGCCATTTCACCAGCTCCTGCTCCCGATTCCCTAAAGATGAGGGTGAGGGGCCCTCATGACGCGTCGGAACTCGTGGAGGCTCCTCTATGCTTGGGTCTAGACAGTCGGGGAAAAGATGGCTTTTCCTGATGGGAGACAGGAGGGGTGAGGGTCGTTTTTTTTTTTTTTTCAACTTTCCTGCTGCAGAAAAAATTCCAGTAAGCGGTTCCAAGATCAAATGGAGGAAGGCTTCTTGTGAAACATTTAAAGATCAAGGGTTTGGGGTGGGGTGGGGCGGGTGCTAATTTCATGCTAAGAGGCTGCAAACTTCGTGCACAGCCGTTTCGATGTGGCCTAGAAAGGCTTTTCTTGGCAAATCGCTTACCTTTTCCAGAACACCAGTATGAAAATCCAGAGCTTATAGTATTTTGGAAGGCGCCTCCGGACTTCCATTTTTCCTCCGCGGCTTCGCCCACTGCCTAAGGAATGAGGTTCAAAGCCCTGAATGCACAGGTAGCATGGTGGAATGAGCCTTAGGATCCAGGTGTATCCTTCCCGAACTTTGAGAGATACACATGCTTAGCTTGGGAGGATACCGACTGGTCACCAGAAAATCGTCTAAAGCCGGAATTTGCAAATAGTTTTCGACAGAAGCCCATTTATTCTGGTGAAAGATCCAGGAGCCCGTTCACTTCATCTATTCCCACTTTCTATGGGAACTTGGGGAACGCGCTGCTTTTGCTTTCTGTATACCAAATTCTGGCTAACCTTAATAACTCGGTATATGACTAAAGAGGAAGAGGATTATCGTATGTAAAGAATTAAAATATTTTTCACATCCCACAATAAGAATTTAAAATAAGATTTATGGTTTGGGCATAATTCCTGGCCAGAATCACTGATCGAAAACTGCTGACTGACCATTTCTGTTAGCCTCTTCCCCCTATTGGAGTAATTTCCTCTAAGAATTTCAAAGTTGATTATGGCCCCTATTTAGCCTTCACAGCCAAGGTAGGGGCCCATTATCTTTTCTTCTTCCCATGCAGCAAAATGAAAATTTCTTCAAGTGCTTCTTTAAGGCTATTATCTTTGCACACTGCCATGGGGGCGGGGAGGGGGTATGTTTGCATGTGGATTTGAGGCTGTTGTCAGTCGTGCTTGGCTATTGAATATTTTGCTTTTTCAGCCTTTTCTGGGGAATGTCTTCTTGCTGATCAGACAGGCGCCATGCCTTGTGCTTATGATTCTGGCTTCAGATATTGGCCGGATTTTTAGATTCTTCTGGTCTGTCCGCATGTCCCATAACAGCTCTACCAGATGTGAGTGTCCTATTATGGACGTAAGCATCAGGGAAGGACTCGAGTATGTGAACTGCGCTTGTCTTCTGCCTTGATAGGAAAGATAAGTTACATTGTCGAGAAGAGCTTCTTTCGGGATCTGAATTTTAAAAACCCCTTTTGTCAGGCTTCCCTTCACAGGAAGGGCATCCCCACGAAAAGAATGGTAATAGTTTTGCTTCCATAAAATATGGCTCCCTTTAAACTCATTCCCAGACAAATTTAAGTTTTAGATTTTAGAAAGCTAAGGATTACCAGAAAGCTAGCACCGAAGCCACTTCTAATCAAAATAAACAACTAGGAAATCGTTTGGTCATCAGATAAAACCATGTCAATTGTATTCATGTGAAACGGTCCATAAAGAATTATCTGCTACACTCTTCACCAACCCCAGTCCCTCCAGGGAGGCAAACTTTAACATTTATTTCCTTTCCCATAACGTTCTATTAGGTATAAATACACCAATTTTACAAGAAATTGATAATGTCACCCAAGACTTAGTCAAAGTGGGATAAACAATACTCGAGTTATTTTTTACCCATCCACAAAAATCTCTGTACCTTTTGAGCATGCCAAAAACTCTAAAATTGTCACAGTTAAACAAATGATTGTCATATTTATACTCACATGTTTACTGCTTCTATTTGGAGTTTGAAGAATTTACCCAGAGCAACAGTGGTCACAATGTTTTCTCTAATGTGTTATAAAAAGCAGTTGCTTTGAGACTATCGAAACTTCGCAAAAAAAATCAACTTGACGTTATGGGATAGGCCAAACTTGAGTTTCTTCTGCAGGTCGAACTGCATGCCTTCAGGGAGACCCTGAAGCTCTCTACTTGAACATTTCCCCAGGCTATTGCCAGGATTTCAGGAAAGCATTTTGCTTATCACTTTTCTTCCACTTGCCTTTACTCCTGTCTTGTCCAAGACCGTTCTGCTTGCCATCACTTTGTGGGTGCCAACATGAAGGCTTCAAACTCTCACTACTCACCTGGATTTGTCCAGCCATGGTGGACAAGTGATATTTGGCTAAATAAATATATTCGTAAGGTTTTCTTTTGTTAGGTTCTTCTGTGCACCAGGCATCGGCAGGACCTTTTATACCCCATTGGCTCTAAACCTCGTAGCAATTTCACCTTTCTATTTCAAAGGTAAAAATCTGATAGTTGGGAGTAATGAAGGACTCGCCTTAGGCCAGTGAGGAACCATGACTCAGTCCTGGATCTGCCTAACACTAAAGTCTACACGTTTTTCCCGTGCCTCTGCCTCCTAAATAGTTGGGGGGGGAGGGATGTTCCCCAGTTTGGATTGGGGATGCTGAGGATAGGAAGCCTTGCAGCATTTTAACATTTTGTTTCTCGGGGATCTGCCTTCCAATCAACCTCCATACATATGCTGCCAAACTCCAGCCTAGCCAAATCCCCAAAACAGATCAGAATCAGAAGGGTTTGGTGCCTACAAGTCTACCTTTCAGACTGCACCATTTTTTAGAGGATAATGACATGGAAAGTTATTCAGGTCTTGCAAGAAAGACAAATTCTATCAAACTGGGAGCAGATGGGCATATAAGAGAATGCAGAAGAGGCTGCATTGGCCTAGAATGTTAAAACCCAGTTGTGGATATGAAACACGTTGCATAGGATGTTAGAGTTACTGACTACCAATCAGAGTTAATTGGCACACTTTCAGGAAGTATATCCCTTTTTAAAATAAATAATAAATGCAACATCACTGTCCCCGGTACTCCAACATTATTTTTTTATTTGAGTTGGAGAGAGAGAGAGAGAAGGAATTATAGATATTTCCCCAGGAATTACACCAAGCCCAGATAGCATGTCAAACGTGAATTTCATGTGTGTCCCCGTAGGGGAATGGCTCACAATGCTGATCCCCAGGTAGCCAGAGACGTAGGCCATCTTGGGAAAGGAAGAACCAGTTGGCAGCCATGGCTGTGGATTAGCCGGCGTCCACTTGTTCTTGGATTCCTTTTTGCAAGTGAGAGCTTTATGCCCTGAGTATCTCGGATTGCCTCGGCCCCTCAAACTGAACCCATCATGCAGAACTTCTGGCCCCAGAGGTCCCATGGCCACCGCCTGGGAGCGAGAAGGTTTTAGGAACTTTTTGCTTGGGCAGGTAATGATTCGCTCTTTGATCACACCTACTTTATCCGAGCTTGACAAACATTCTCATTTGCTTCTGGGGTTGGTTCTGCACAGGTCCTCTTGCCAAAAGAGATGCTGCCTCTGCGTATGAGTACTTGTTGACTTAATTAAGGAAAGAGCTCTGCGCGTCAGCAAAGGGAGAAGGGAGCCCAAGCCCGTGGAAGGTAAACTCTGCAAGCAAAAATAGGGTGACCGAAAAGAAGGCAATGGTGACTAGTAGGAAGGCATCAGAGGGGTGCTCACTGTTGCTCTGATTTCTTTTTATGCTACTAGGACTTTTAACCCTGAAACAACCTGCACACAGCTCCGGTCCAGCCTGGTTGGAACACCATTGCCACCTGCTCCTTGTCTACCCACTGTGCCGGGGAGCAGGGCTCAGCCCAGGCTGCTGCGGGGTCCACCGTCTTCAAAAAACAATGACAACAGTGGCCTCCTGGCCCTCCAAAGTCCCCGCAAGCTGAGTGAATGGAGATGACTCTGGGGGCCGGGGCTGGCAAAAGCAAATTAGGATTTCGGCAGAGGACACCAGGCCCCTTGCCCCTGTTCCCATCAGCATGGCCTCACTCGTGCCCCCCACCCCAGATCCAGATGTCATGGGGGCTGAGGATGGAGCTCATCTGCTCTGTGCAGGAAAATATTATTTCTTCTCTGCTACCGCAACATGGATTCCTGAGTCTCCCGGCTAGAAGGAAGGGTATGGCGGTGGGCAGGGGGCGGTGTTGAGGAGGAAGGAGAAGACTTACCCTGGACATCGCTCAAAGCAGGATGCGCGGTTTCCTAACACTTTGCTGCAACTGACAAGCAAGGAACTGCCCTGAAGCTGCTTGCTGCTTCATTTCCAAACACAAAATGATTGTTTTTCCCTGTGGCTCGGGAGTCTTTACAGCACTTTCCCTCTATATTCCAGTCAACAGAGCCACATTATAAGCTGGAAATGATTAGAGCTAAGCTATGAGAAATACAGACTTAATTAGGTGAGAAGAAAAATCTAAGAGCAAGTTCATACTGTATTTGTAGGAAAAAAAAATAATGAAGGCGCCAACCTATTAAGAAGCCCAAGTAGGGGAGGTGCCTTCAGATGCAATAGAAAAGAAGCTAAGACAGTATGTCCTCCCATTTGTGTAACACTTTGCACTTGGCCAAGTAATTTCGCCTATCTCAGGTCTTTCCTGTGAGGGACAAAGCTAAGGAAGGGTGCATTATCTATTCTTAACATCTGAAGAAACATAGAGACTTAAGGAGGAAGCTTCAGATAGCCCCAAATCCAGCCTCTGACTCCGTTTTCCGTGACGCCCTCGGTATCCCCAGGGTCCACTGTGTTTCTCGAGACCGTGAATTTCCTATGTCACTCATTCATCTCTGATCCATATTTTCGGCTCCATTGGCACCCTCTCTGCTATTACATCCCTGCCGGAGGCTGGGCGATGCCAGATTGTTCAGAGTGCGTATTTGTCTATGCTTTTCTCATTGGCTAAAGGACTAGCAGATGTGATTCTGTTCTTTCTCCCTAGTTAGGCAGCACCAGACCTAAAGAAGCAAGCAGGGCAGGGGGCTCTTGGCTTGCTCAGCAGGGTGACGGGTAAGGCAAAGCCTGCAGGGATTAACACCTTAAGGACCTCGGGAATGCAAAGGTTGCAAAGGAAGTTTCAGTGAGCCTGAGGGTTGTTGTTACACCCCTTCATCATAGTGAGCAAGCTGCTCGCTTCCTCTCCTGCACCAGACACTGCATTGGGCACAAAAAATGCAAAGAGGCACAGACAGTCCCCAGCTCATGAGCTGGGTGGGTACCAAGTTCATCTCTTGCAAGTCAAGAACGCATTTTTCTAAGAAGCATTGTTACCGATGGGGGAGGGGAAGGGTGTTCCCAGACCAACTAAAAAAAATAAAAATCTATTTAATGTACACCTGGGGTTGGCAAACTTTTTCTGTAAATGGCTAGATAGTAAATATTTGAGGCATTGTGGGCCATACGCTCTCTGTCACACATTCTTTTTTGGTTTTTGCTTTTTTTTGGACAGCCAGCTAAAAATGTAAAATCCATTCTTAGTTCACAAGCCATAGCAAAAAACAAAAAACAAAAACAAAACAACCCATGGGCCCTAATTTGCCATCCTTGATCTGTGCCATCTCTAGCTTATGGAATAGGAATAATAACAATGCTAAACAGTGGATTTGGGTGTTCAGCTTAAAAGCATCTTTTTTTTAAGTATGCCATTGACAGAGCTCCACTTGACCAAATTAATATTTCCAACCTGCATGATTTGTTAGATGAAGGGACAAGTTCATACTGCGGTGGGGGTGGGGGGCTGCTCCATATAACCCGCTCACCCAAAAGACATACTCTAGTACAACATTGTAACTTTCTACCCAGGCATCGGGACAAGAGGGAAGCACCCACCACCCCTTCCCACTGCTGGGTTCTGTAAAACAGGCAGGCTGCAGAAGCCCAGGGAGTCCATGGTGTGGGGTGGGATCTTTCAGCTTTTCATCCCCCTGAAAGTCTCCCGGCACAATCCAGCTGACTCCATGAGTAACAACAACCAGGGGGTGCCATTTGACCACAGCTGATGTGAAATCCCTCCCAGAGCACTGGAGCCTGTTGAAATGGGGATCCCTAGAGGCTTTGGGGGTCACACTTGGCTTCTTGGGAAGGCTTTCTGACCACAGCACCTTGCACCAGGACATCTGAGGGCCCACCCTGGGGATCACCAAGAAGCGGGGTACAGAAAGGGGTGCTGGAGGGGAGAGACATCTTCCAAACACAAATACTAGCTTCTAGCAGGACTTCTCTTCCCTTTCTTCCTCATCCTTTTCCTCCTTCTTTCCTTGGTTTTCATTTTTAAGTCTGAAATCACCTAACTAGACTCAAAATGGTGCTGCCATGGGGAAATATTCAGTCCTTCCCTGTGATGATGAAGCCATGTTTCTCGAGGCTGGCATGTTATTGGAGGGACTTCCTTCCCTGTCCCCATCCCCTCTCCAGTCCTGATGGGGCAGTGAGGGGGAGGCACAAGCTGTCCGTTGGAAACAAGGGGTACAGTTCCTGTGGCCTAGGCCAAGGTCCACAGTGTTGAGAGATGCAGGGCGGGGGGTAGGGAATGGGAATGGGGGCAGAACTGATGAGGAAGAACCTGGAGATAGCTATAATACTATCAGGAATATATCTAATAATGGAATAATATCAAAAATATCAGTACTAACAGCAGCGCCTATGTTGGGCACAGAAAAGAAGGCCTCTGGGCTGATGCTATGTGGCAGCCTCCCTTCCCTTCCCCGTCCCCTTCCGTCTCGACCCTGACCCTCTCTCCTTTCCAGTCTCCTTTCCTTAACCCTGCCTCTCTCTCCATGATTCCACCCTCTACTTTTTTCAAACTGATAAGCAATGAATGATGGGGAAGGAACCCTTGCCCCACAGGGTGCCCATGCCCATGGCATACAGTGCTCCGTGCATTGCCCTGGGTGACAAGGGGGACCTCCCTCAGCTTCTCTGTCCCCTCCCCAGGTCAGGCCTGACACTGCAAGCTGGTGTCCCTGAGGCCTTGGGGAGCCCCGGGCCAGAGATGGGTGCCCCAGGGGAAGCCCATTCAAGGCCCCTCCACAAAGACTTGTATCTGGGCCACCATTGCTATCTTTCTCGGCTTATACTATTAGTTCCATGTTAAGGGTACAAGCACAACGTGCTGGTGGTCAAGCGTGGTTCCCTGTTATTTCTATCCCCACCCACAGGTGAGCACCTCTTTTACCAGCTGCCCCCTCTCACTTTGACATTTCTGAAGTCTTTACCGAGCCCTACAATGTCACCTTCTCTTTCTCTCCTGCATCATTGGTCTCTTGCCTCTGTGTGCCTTCACCTTTCACTCTCCCTCTTAGCCCTTAGGGCCTTCAAGACCGCGATGAATCCCAAAGCAAACTTGGTTTCATGTTAGCATTAAGCAAGTTAAGCAATTAAGCAATGATTGCTCCCTCGGAAGGCACACCCTGCACAAAACTCAGCAGAACTCAGCTGAGTGAAAGGTGCTCCTTCTCATCTAGCGCTCCCACTGCCTGTCCCCATCCCCGCCAGCTCCTCTGCCCCGGGAACTTGTTCATAGACTCTCTCTATTCTCTCATCATAACTTTGTGCCAGGAACCTTTCTCCCCTATGCAGAGGGTCCTCTCCTACCCAATGTGCTCCTGCTTTCGCTGGCAAAGCACCCCCTGGGGTAGGCTGCCGGGGCCGTCATAGCAGAATACCCCAGACTGGGGGCTTCAACACAGACATTTATTCTTTCGCAGTTCTGGAAGCTGGGCGTCTGAAATCAAGGGTCTGCAGGGCTGTCTCTTCTGGAGCCTCTCTCCTTGCCCTGTGGCGGGGGCTGCCTTCTCCGAGTGTCTGCCCATCACCTTCGCTCTGTGTGTCTGCGTCCTAATCTCCTCTTTCTCTAAGGACACAGCCAGATTGCATCAGGGCCCACGCCACTGACCTCATTTAACCTTAACGGCCTCTTTAAAGAACGTTTCTCCAAACACAGTCTCATTCTGAAATCCTGGGGATTAGGACCTCAACATACGAAACTGGGGTTGGGGGGGACAGTTTAACCCATAAAACTTTCTCCCCACGCTCTCCTTTCTGCCTGCAAAGTCTTATCCACAATTCTTTCCCCAACTCAAATGTTCAAATTCAGCCCTTCCTGCCCATTCTCTCCGAGTCCCTATAACAATTGTCTCTAAATTGCATTTGACAAGTAATTGTGCACCCTATTTGTTATCCATCTGTTGCTTTTTTAAAATCTATAGTTTTGGGACGCCTGGGTGGCTCAGTTGGTTAAGCGTCTGCCTTCGGCTCAGGTCATGATCCCAGGGTCCTGGGATCGAGTCCCGCATCGGGCTCCCTGCTCCGCGGGGAGCCTGCTTCTCTCTCTGCCTCTGTCTCTCTGTCTCTCATGAATGAATAAATAAAATCTTTAAAAAAAATAAAATAAAATCTATAGTTTTTTCACCTTAAAATGTACTTTACACCGCACCTATATAGGTTCTGTCTTTCAACCAGATTAAAACTCCTGGAGAGTGGGACCTGTCATGTCACTCTGTATGCCCAGAGCAGTACTCAGCCCCTGAGGGATCCTATCTAAGGACCAGGGCCCCTCCTGAGCAAGCAAGCAGGGAGGAGACAAAGAGGGACAAGGGACCAGAGCCAAGCGCTAGTTCCAGGCAGGGGCTGGGAGACCAGGTCCACAGGGCCTTGGAAATACCAGCTGACTCACCAGGAAGGCTCAGGTAATAGGGCTTCTGAACAGTTAGTGAGATTCTAATCAGGGGTGGAGAGCACAGCAGTAGGGAATCCCATGTTAGCTGCCATCTTGAGTCAGGGCAGGCACCGAATCCCCCAGGAGACCTCTGCAACCAGAAAAGCAGACCCCCATCAGTGAATGGGCCAGACCCTAGACCCTGAGAGCAAGGTGAGATGCAGTAAGATGGGGTGAAGAACCAACAACAGAACCCAGTCCCAGGAAATGGGTCACTGAGGAGCATGCCATAGGCTGTGATCCCCACTGGGCCCCAATCCTGGCAATGGGGGAGTTAATGCTGTTTCAGGGACGTCCTCCCCACGTCAGGAGCAGCATGGAAAATGGGTGCCAATGAGCCTTCAGGTAGCTTTCCTTCCACCCTGTCTCACAGCTCAGAAAGAGTAGAGGAAAGGAAGTGACACTGACTTGATTGGATATGAGGATGTAGATAGCCATTCCCTGCTAAAAGGCTTTCTAAGTCTGACCTTCTGCAGACCATCTCCCACTATTCCTGCCCCAGCCCTCGGTGACTCTAGCGTAGGGTCTTAGCCCCCGCTGCCCCGGCCTCTTGGGTGCTGCTGCCCGTTCCGTGTGGTTTTAGAGGGTCTTGGCCTGGTGACCTTGCTTCTCTTGAGAAATTCAGTTCCATTTCTGTTTCATCAACCCCACCTAAGCCTTTTATTGTAGACAAATTGATCGCTGGCAGGGTGCTGCCCTGACAGTCATGGAGTGATGCCTTCTGCCTGGTCCCTGCTGAGACGCAAAGAGCATTAATCCTCATTTGGAGGGATCGGG